TGGAATAATTATATATGTTAACAACTATACCATTTCTCTGACAACAATATAAGCCTTTGTTATGAAATGGTATGAATACACATGAACATTTAGTTTATAAAACAATACATTTGTAATATTGCCTGGAACATAAAATACTTTTTAAATTATGTTTTGCATGTTGTCTTTATATCCAATGTCAATAGTGTCAACAGACGGCAGATTTAGGTAAACATTTCCAATCCAAGAACTTTTTTCCGTCGACATGGAGATTTTTGATGATTAAAATAACAGTGAATACTGTATAGCATTGAATTAAAAATAATCTAAAAACAAACAATATGTGCAGGAAAAAAACAAAAAATATGAAAAGTAAAGAAGAACAAGAAAGAAATGTGAGGTCTAAACAATTGGAGTATATTTGTAAAAGTACAATTATTGAGTTTTAAATGGTTGTCAAGTATGTTTTCAAATTGCTGTCTTTAAAAATACAGAAGGTCAAAGAAAGGGAAATGATCTTGTAAATTAGAAGTACCACAGACAGACCTTAAAGCAAACCCCTTGTGACTTTTAACTGTGTTTTATACAGTTCCCACTGTTCACTGTTTATTAAGATAATCAAGGTATAATCTGTACGGAGCAGTTGGTCTATGTGTCCCGGTTGTTTCCACCTTTGTCCCCTTAAAGCCTCAGGGCCCCCTGATAAAGACACACAGCGACTTTTTCACAGCGGAAAAAATAACCTCCATTTAGACCTGGACACTGCAGTGTTTCCTTTGAGTTTTTGTCTTGTATTGGCTACCATTTCTGCCTGGCTCAAGGTTAGCTTGCCCTGCTTTCTCTGCTTTGCTCTCAGCCTTGGAGGAGGCCTGCATTTGTATCAGCTGCACTCTGCAGCGAGGGAGGAGCAGACGGGGGCCAGATTTATGCTATCTCAAGACAAATAATTATGCACAGGGGAAAGTACCGTTGCAAACAACAATAACATCCAACTTAAATGTGGCTGTTTTGCACATTTCCTCAATCTATTCTTAGCATAACCTCACAAATTCTAACCTGTTCTGTCACTTTCACATATCAGATGGATATGTTCTTTCCCTGAATACCTAAGTGGTTCTTTAGACTCTATGACAGATTTATGAGATGTCATGTTAACTGAGAGAGATGTGTTAGACACAGAGTCACTATTTGAATATGATGGAGCTCTATTGCGTCTCTATTTCCAGCCGACTCTTTATCTCAAGGGGAGCTATGAGATAAGGAGAGATTCCAGGCTGCTGTTGTGTGGGCCTGAAACACTGCGGCCTGCCCCTCCTGCTGGTCTAGAGAGGCCCCTGCATTTGATCATCAGGGTTTACAGTGGAGTAAAGTGTTCATTAAGATAGCTGGAAAAAAGTTTGTGTGGAACAAACTCAGCTGGAAATTAATTTATCAAAATCCGCTCTGTTTTGTATCATGAGATGGATATGTGCTACCTCATAAGGAGAATTGATAATACATGTTTCTTTGCAATAGTTCAAAATGGTAGAAGACACACTTACTGTAATATCTCTCCTAACTAAATTGGTAAAACAAATGTGTAACACATCAACTATTCTGAAAGTAGCCATTGTTTCAACCTAACCAGGATGCTTTTTTTATTTTATTCAGTACAGTTTGATGGTTTAAGACTTTGTTCTAGCTCATATTAAATCATATTTATCTTGACGTGGAAAGTACCCATAAGTTGACAGAAGCAATTCACAGTTAGAGCCAGATCAGGTTTACGGGGAAAGAAAAAAAAAAATGTTTTGGCTTATCATATTTCTCTCTTGTCATCCTCCATCAGACCTGTTTGATGACTTTGCTGAGGGACGAGAGTGTGTGAACTGCGGGGCGATGTCGACCCCCCTCTGGAGGCGGGATGGTACCGGCCACTACCTGTGCAATGCATGTGGACTGTACCATAAGATGAACGGCATCAACAGACCTCTCATCAAACCTCAAAGACGGCTGGTGGGTGACAGAGCAGCACTTTAGTATTCTGTACCAAACAGTGAAGCAATACATGGATGGATACATTCAAGTGTTCACTCTGGGAAAATAAATGTATTATCTTTTTCTCCTGACATATTTTCAGTCTGCCTCGAGGAGGGTGGGCCTGTCATGCACCAACTGTCACACCACCACCACCACACTGTGGCGACGAAACGCAGAGGGAGAGCCGGTCTGCAACGCCTGTGGCCTCTACATGAAACTCCATGGGGTGAGAGAGGGAAGAGGGGGAAGAAGTGCATCTCAAAAACTGCTGATATAAAGTCAAATTCCTAGTATGTGCGAACCTTCCTGGCAATAAACCTGTTTCTGATTCTTATATAAATAGTTAAAACCCTTTTGATCTTGAATTTAAAGGTTCATCTTCAATGTATTAACCTTTATTCTACACCATCCTCCAAGATTGTTCCACTACTCTTATTTCAGTCTTCTGTTGTTGACTAATGGTTATTCCTTTGTCTTGGTGTCCTGACAGGTAGCAAGACCCCTGGCTATGAAGAAAGAGGGGATCCAGACCCGCAAACGCAAACCTAAGAGCCTCAACAAGCCCCAAACTGGTGAGATTCAAAACCACATGCTTACATTTGTGCAGACATGGTGATGGCTGTTACAATGGCAGGAGCTCAAGACTTAGGCCCATTTCCATGCTCATACTGTCTGTGAATGTGTCATGACGTTAGTTCTGGTGCTCCACAGGGACCACAGGCAGCGAGGGGTCTCCCATCACAACCAGCAGCACTCCCCGGGCCTCCAGCACCATTGAGGAGCCTCGGCAGATAAAGACGGAGCCGGAAACCCACAGCTTGTACTCACACCACGGCTCACACGCACAGGTAAAACACAGTTTAAACTAATCTCAGAGAATATTAAGATCAAATAGTTGTAAGAGTTGGTGGTTGTGATGAAAAAGAGGCTAATCAGATTAAATAACTGTTCAACAAACCGGGATCGTATCACCTGGCCAAGGTCTAATATGGCCTATAAGGAACAGAGTTAAACCAATGTTTAACACATCAACCCAGATTCTAGCATTGGCATATTTTGTTATGTTTTAAAACGTTTTTCTCCCCCATAATTAAAAAAAGGTTAAAGTCTCTGACAGACTGCCAACATAAGAAATCTGACAGGCCTTCTCACCATTTCCTTCTGTATCCCTCTAGATTTCAGCCCTGCCAGCCTACATGACAGCTCAAAGTGGGGCCACTCCTCTCAAGATGTCCCCTGGGGGCCACGGTGGGTCTTCTGGCTCCAAAGCTGAGCCCTGGAACAACCTAATCCTGGCTTAGAAGACGCACAACCTGGCACGCATCTCAAACCAACCTATCTATAGCGATTAAACTCTTCTGAAGGATCAGAGCGCTCTGTATGCAGATGTTTGTGCAGCCGACACACCGCACAAGTCACTGGGACAAACATGTGGGCGCCACAAAAGAAATGGATATCTTAAACAGAACTGCTCAGATACTGTATGTTTACTCACAGCAATCGAGGGACTGATTGGAGTTTTTGTTAAAGAGCAGCGCCGCCATCAGACACACAAAACTCTTGAACTCTAAGAACTGTAACATGTACATGCTTCTCTACCCTCCCAGTGAAGTTGCTTTAAATGATAGATACTGTAACATAATCCAATAACAAATAACAGTAATGGTCAGACTTTATCTCATCAAGGTATTTTTATTTCAATACTTTCTTTTCATTTTCATGTTATTATGGACAATTTGCCAACAACATGTAAAGAATAACAGAAGGTAGCACCATGGAGGAGGTGTGTAATAAAGGGTCAGTTCACAATAAAAAAACAACAAGATTATACGTTTTTTCTGAAATGCCACAACAATAGAATCCAGTTAAATTAATAATACATTTCAAAACCTCAAAAGCTACATCTCTTTACAGAGCAAACAATGTTCAGGTTACTTAATAATCCTCATTGATTACACTGATTTAAATGTGATACCAATATTTGTAATGCACATGCATAATTTCACAGTGCATTTAAATCTACAAAGAAAAGCTATTCTGTAGCATTAAACCTACTGTAACTTTAAGAGAATTGCTCAGGATATCCATCACTCCCCACCAGAGAAAGGATTTTATTAGGCCAGTGCAATAGAAGAAGCTCCCTGGTTGTTTCTCGTCTCTCGATCAGTTGCCTGAACTGTGTGCCTTTTGATTTAAAGTGTAAAAAACACATGTCAGTATTGACACCGCTGTGAAAGAATACATGAGAAACTACCTGTTGCTATGTTGCACGTTCTGAATATGGCACATAGCTCCCTCTGCTGACACAAGAGCAGATGTGCATCCGTAAGAAAACCAATACCTGAGGGCCTTACAAAAAGAAAATATCTGGTAGATAGTATTTATTATTAAAAGGCACAACCCCAAACCTAACAATCATTTAATTATCATGTGTTAGATGAAGGTTGTTTGATTTGATGTGACGGCTTATTGTATCAAGAATGTACAGATTATTATAAATACTCAATGCTTTAATTTGCTTGCATTCTGACAAGCATGGGGGGGGTAACGTGTAAATGTGGGATAACCTCACATGTAATTACCAACAAATATATGAGCATATATGTGAAAAGTCCACTCCAGTATAATTGTAATACACCATTTGTGATATATTGTAAGTAAAGACACAATGAGAGACGGACATGTGTGCACTAACACTCTGATGCCCTTCCTCTGTGTGCAACTGTAGCTCTACTGAGAAAACTAATAAAGACCAAGCATTTTGACAGAAAACCAATGGTTTGTATGATGTAATCATTTTGGGTGATTCATTCTACTGAAAAAAACATATTTGACATCTAGTCTTAGTGACTTCCTCTTCATCTTGGCGAAGTTTAGTCATCGGGGAACTTGTGAGGCTTCTTCTGGAAACTGTATCCTCCCAATTTCTAAGTATTCTTTTGTAAAGCTTACAATATCTTTGATAAAAAGCTGTACAGTGCATTGATTGAAGTCCTCAGTCAGCTTCTCCCTGATGAACTGAGCATATTTGTCCTGCACCATCTCCTTCCAACACTGTTGAAATGTGAAGCCTTATTTCACCCTGCGTGGCGTCAGACACCTGTGAGCTAAAAGCATACTCAAATGCAAAAGAAAGTCCTTTTCTTAAATGTTCCTCCAAACTTTATTTTTTGTCTGGGAGCAGAACTTGTGCAGCTTTGATCATTGTGTTTAGCTCCTGGATGTCTTTCTCCTCTTCTGGTTTGCCTTCAAAAATACTATGCATTCTTTTAAAGCTCTTCCAGTCTTGGTCCTGCACAGTGTTTATAAAAGCCAAATCTGCAGATCTCAGGAGGCGTTTCACAGCAGAAAACACATTTTCACACGCAGGATTAAGATCAGTCTTCTTCAGCTGCTTTCACATAGCTTTCATAGTCCTCAGTCTGATCGATATAGTCCACTTGGCTGAAGTGAATATCCCTGAAGACATCTTCTTTATTTCCTTTGAAGCCCCAACATTTCACGTAACCAATATGAGTCTTCACTCCATACACAGTCCACCACTCCTTAGCTTTCTGAACCAAATTCAGCATGCACGCATCTGTATTTCTAGCCAAACAGGGGCTGTTCTTGGTGAAAACATATACCTTCCCGCCTTCTGAGGCAGCCTCTGACTCCAGAAGTTCCTGGGTTTGTTTGATTATGAAGTCCTCGCTGTGTTCTCCCTTGTTGTACTTTGGATAGAATGGTCCATACATGATAATCTCCTCCTGTTTCTCAATGACAGCCCATGAATGCTGCTTGTCCACTGCACCACATTCCTCTGTGATGTCATGCTGAAACTCCAAAAATGTCTTGTTGATTGATTTGTCGAGTAAGGCGTCATCAGTGGCTTGTTTAAACTTGAGATGCAACAACACTTTCTTTACAGAGGTTTGTGTGTCAGCCCAGGACAATATGTCACCCAAGAAGCTCTCAATATCAGTCAGGTTTTTTGTCGCTACATTCACACAGTCTTCAGATGTGCAGAGGGTGCCACAGCTTGTCCTGTAACACATGATATCTCATTGTATGGCATACAAGTCTGGGTGAATAACACCAACATTGTGATAACTGGGAACTGGGGCGTATTGTTTGTAAATACACACAAAAATGGACTACTATTGACACTAGAATTATTCATATTTAATCAGGTGTCTTATGATGAGAATTCTGTTGTTAAATTACTATTGTATTTACTTTTCTAACAAATAGTTGGACATTTGGGAAATACATTGATTTGCTTTCTTGCAGAGATTAAGACAAGAAGATAGAAAACCCTCATACCTGTCCAATAAATTTAAATCTACAGCAAGTTAGCTTAGCATAAAAATTGCAAACAGGGGGAAGTGCCAACCTGGCCCTGTCTAAAAAGTAACAAAACCCACCTCTTTATTTTTTAAATGAACACATCATATTTTGTGTTCAATTGGAACAAATATTAAATTGAAGTGCTAATAAGCAGATTTTGTTACCTTTGGACAGAGTCACACTCGTGTCTACGCTGTTTCCAGTCTAAGCAAAGCTAACAGGCTGCAATATATAGATAATTATTTGATGGACAATAATGATCATCTAACTCTGACTATATTGTTGAAATACTCTCTCCATGGTCATTAATAAACCATGTTAAAAAAAGTTTCCTATTTCAATGAATAATCCAGCTCTACGATAAATGAACATTTCACCATATAAATAGCCTACTGTCCGAATTGTGAATTGTAAATATGAAACAGATCTCTGACTTTATGATGCTTTCAGAAGGATTATGGTTAAGGCGTGGTGATTTAAATACAGTAGTGAAACATAAGACACATAAAATAAAGGGATGCGACATGTGGTAGGCCTATGTTGCCATAACAACGATGTGGCATACCAAGAGGAATTGAAAATGTCACCTGAAATACCCTTTGTCCTCAAACAACCCAGACGCATGAATAAACCTGTGACATTCCTGTTGCAACACCTCTCAAGAAAACATTTCCACGACCCAGATTACATGTATATATTCTGTCAGCACTTACTGTCTGTCATGCCTGTCTGTGCGTGTGTCAGCCTCATATCTGGCCAGAGTTTTGAGACATTTATTTTTGCACATGGGAAGCTCCTTTGCATATCCATTACACAGAGGTCGTTTACGGCTAACTCTGAATCTGAAACAGAAATCAGGAATATCATCATGGGATCAGATTACAGTGTATGTACGGTGACAAATTCAGTTTGACTTATATGGATAACAATAGTTTATGTCTTTGCTAAAAGATTTAAAAAATGTTAGAGTTTTACAGTGTTTCAGGCAGCCGTTCCACCAATATACAATGTCAAAGAGAAGTACAACTATCAAGACACAAGAACATGTCCTTTCCAACCCGATATCACGGCAAAACGTGAACATGTGACGATTTACCATGCTGGGAGACGTGAAGATGTCACGATTTCGTCCCTTCAAACGTGACAGTTACACGGTATTGTTAACCCATGTTAACCAGTGGAGAAATAACTGGAAATGCCAAGCAAATGCTACCCCGACGGTCGGTTGTTATTGTCAATATTAATATAATAAAGATTTATTTTTTAATAGTCACACTCGATTACGCCGATGTTCTTGTTGCCCCAGCTGGTCGACACCTCTTTTAGCAGAAACAAAGGCTACATTAATGTATTAAATAGATGTTAATCCATGCGTGTGGATGTGGAATTAACGGATGTGCCGTTGTGCGATTGAGTTGCCAGGCAACAGCTTCGGTTCATGTTAATTTACAAACTCTTCAACTACAACCGCAGTTATATTTAAAAACATGTTAGAAGGCCTCACGAAATACTAATGCAAATTAAAATGTAAATGTGAAGGAATGTGTGTATAACAAAATACATCGGTGATAAACGAAACCGGAAACGGACGTAGGCAAGATCCTCAGCTCGATGATTGGATGGTTTAGCCGCAATGCATGAAAGCCATGAAAATGGACGCTAAGGGCCCCCCCCCCTTGCGTTGAAAATGGACGCTAAGGCCCCCCCCCCCCTTGCGTTGGAAAAAGCCGACAGGGGACTTGACATAACGTCAACATAGGCCGACCTGGGAGTGAGGATGTGTTGGACAGACGTGCAATAGATGCCGTTTGTAAATTGAAAAGATAATACATTTGCAACATAGGATGAGTTTGTTTGAGGAGAATGAGTTTGTTTCACTCTTAGACCAGCAGGTATATCAAATCTATGCAGACTGCTGCAATAAGTACATTAATTAATTGTCTCATCGATGTTTGTCTGTATGAATATGATAATATTAACAATCATATTATTCCTATCAGCTGTCAATCACTGTTATGATTCACATATTCATTTATTATTGAATAAACTATATTTTTTGGAGGAGTTAATGATGAATGTTCCTCACGATGCTTGCTCACCCTCCTTCAAATTTGAAAGAAAAGTAATTACTATCATGTATCAATATTCAAAAGATCCAAAGTAACAGTTCAGCACCCCACGACTTTACTGCAAACAGTTACAACCTTTAGAAAGAACAAACATTAAAGAAGTGACTAACTGCATCAGTTAGAGTTAAAAAAAACGTGTATTCAGCTAAAACCAACACACTCTCACTCCCTAAGCGTCCAGGAGCGACGTTTGGTCAGTGTCCGTGGCGTCCAGTTGTGACGCTCCTAGGCTCTTTCAGCGTCATAAAGGGACGCAAATAGCTTTCAACTGATTGCAATGTATTCCCATCTGCGGCGGGATTTGACGCTCATGGAAGCACGGCATTCGTTTGTGTCGGCTGCCCTTAAAGGCAATGTGAGCGTCCATTCCCATTGGATAACGGAGAATTGTACACCCGGAAGTAAGTATTCCTCTTACTGTCGATTGATTTTACAGTGATATCTGCACTACTCATCGACTAAAAAACACCAGATTATCCTTGTTAATTACACAACATTGATTGGTTTAAATTGTGTGCAATGCTTTTGTATTTTTCCCCTTCGATTCGGAGAAACAAATATGTTTTCTGAGTAAAGGATGGCAGAAGACACAACACTACCCAGAATCCCCAGCTATCGTTTGGACTACACCATATCAAATATATCCTTTGCTTTAGATGGTTTAAGGGATTTAATTACTCTTTTAACTTCTGCTTCAGTTGTGTTTCTTAAGCTGAAAGCTGGCTCCATTGTATCAATTTGACAATTACTTGTGCAGTCAGGAGAAAAACACTGTGCAATGTTAGCAACAGAATCAATAAAATAGTGATTTAAAACTTCAGCTACATCACCTGGAGTGTTTATAAGCTTCCCATTTACTTTAAGTTCAAACTGTTTTCTTTCCCTATGTTGATGACCAGTTAATATTTTTAACTGGTCCCAGATCAGTTTCGAATTACCTCCTGCCTTGTATAGTTAAAAATAAATCTGCCTTAGCTTTCCTTAATTTCTTTAAAACTTTATTCCTAAGCATAGTAAAATGACTTCTGTCATGGCTTAATTTAGTTTTGATTGCAGTTTTTAAGACTAGATCACGTTCTTTCATTAGTCTGAAAATATCCTCATTTATCCAAGGGACAGTGTGTTTGTTATTTCTATGCTTGATTTTGCTTTTGAAGTTGTTAATAGTCCTCTCTAACGTTTTTGAGAATATTTTACTGTCTTCATGGTCTATTCCAGGCAAAATATCTTCCCATTTAATCTGTTCAACAGCATTTGTAAAGGTCTCATATTTGTTTTTGGGGATTTCACAAGATTCATATTTCCTGACGGAAGGGCTAAAACACTTTTTGGTTAGTTTCCTGGCGACTAAAGTCATATTGTGGTCAGATTGTGAAAGACCAGTTAACATGTTAAAGGATTTAAAAATTCTCTCTGGTCTGTTACTAAATATTAAGTCAATTTGAGTGCTGGTTGAATTTGTTATTCTTGTAGGTCCACTGATCAGTTGCACAAGGTCAAAATGATCAGTTATCTGTTTTAGATTCTTTCTGGACGATTTATCCTCCCAGTTAATGTTAAAATCACCCATTGAAATTACATTCTCTTAATAACTTCTTAAAATGTTCATAAAAAAGATTATTTGAAGATGGAGGCCTATAAATTACAATAAGAACAAATGACATTTGTGGTGACAGAGTTATATTAACACCGATAGTTTCCAATCCTTTACAATTTGACCACTGTATTTCATTGCAGGGAATACTGTCCTTGACATAAATCATAACCCCGCCTCCTTTCGAGCCGCGTCTATCTCTCCGGTAAATGTTAAAAACCCGGTACGTGAAAGGCTGCTGTGGGGGCGGACTCATGAAGCCAGGTCTCGGATAAACACAAAAAGTCTAAATTGGAGTCCATTAAAAGATGATGGACTTGCTCACTTTTAGATTTGATGCTTCTTATGTTCAGATGTCCCCCTAAAAGGCCTGATGGCTTAGCTTTGGGATCCCAGACTGTTCTTGAGTTATTGACAGTTATTGAAATTCCGGTTCCGGTGTTCCGGATTAACTGGTTCCCCGATCAACTGGTTGACAGATGTGGAGGCGTGGCCTTCGACTGAAATACACATTTCGATCGCTTCTTCTGTCGTTTTCATAAATATTTTTGGTATATTTGGCTGGATAGGAACACTTTGATGCACATTCAGTACCAGTGTGTGAGGTTGTGGTTACAATGGCGATATCCGGACGCGAACAGCGAGGACTACAAAAAGACAACGAGTTGACTGGGGATGTCTTTTCAAAACATTGCGAGCTCCAATAAATAATTTAAACCAGCTATTGTTGCCAGACTTATTACTGAATATCGTTCTTAATGTGATACCAAGTCCATCTGAGACATGTGTACACCTTCAGACAGCCTCCCAGTGAAGCGTACGTTGTTTACTCAGAGTTTGAAAGCAGCGTGGAGAAGTTTTCAGCTGTGTTAAACTGTGATCCTCTCAGGTAAACTGCGATTCGCTCAGGGTCAACTGGGATCCACCCAGGGAAAATGGGATCCGCCCAGGTTAAACTGTGTTACAACTTCTGTGGCTATCTACCAGCGATCATGTTTAATATGAAAGACACACACATGTATCCCTTATAAAAACGGCATTCTGCAGCACTCATCCAGATAACATGTGACTGTTAACTCGTTTTGCAAAGATAGCAGCAGAAATGTCATTGCTGCATGTGCAGGGATATTAGACTTTAAAATGCTGATGGGTCATTAATGTTGGTCTCGGCAAACAATATTAGGAATCCTCTATTCAAACCACAAAATATTCAGTGTCCATCGACATGAAAATAACAAAAAAGTTCATGCTGGACTCAAACCCGAGTCCCAACAGCAAAAGTCACTCCAGCCCTGCGCGTTATGAGTGCTCCGCTCAGCCCACAGCCAGCCGCCTCGACCTCCGCTGCTCTCCCGACACCCGGGGTGAGCCAAACATCACTCCGTGGGAAAGTTGTATTGAGTGTGCCGACCGCGGTGATGTTGGCTTCAGCGTGGTTTGGACCAGGACACGGATGAATATCTCCAGAAAGCAGCAGACAGATTGTGATGAACAGTGCGTTGCTTTGTTGAAGTCGAGTTGGTGGCTTTGTATTTTTTTTCAGTCGTTTGTACAGAGACGGGAAAATGAGAGACACTGCTAGAGTGTGCTTCCCATGTCCAAAGTTTCCATGATTTTGGTTAGTTTGCTGGTGCAGCAGATCAGCATTGTTTGCATATATGTTTTGTAGCGGGTGTACCAAGAAGTCAGTCAAGTCGCTTCAGCTGATTCAAAATGCTGCAGCTCGTGTACTAACCAGAGTTAGGAAAAGGGACCACATTACTCCTGTTCTGGCTGCCTTACACTGGCTCCCTATAGAACACAGGATAGAATTTAAAATTCTTCTTCTCGCCTACAAAGCCCTTAATGGGCAGGCGCCATCTTACCTTAAATAACTCATTATACCCTACTGTCCTACTAGGGCATTGCGTTCCAAGAATGCAGGGTTGTTGGTTGTTCCTAGAGTCTCTAAAAGTACAATGGGAGCCAGAGCCTTTTCTTATCAAGCTCCACATTTGTGGAATCAGCTTCCAGTTTGTGTTCGGGCGGCAGACACCCTATCCGTTTTTAAGAGTGCGCTTAAGACCTTCCTTTTTGATAAAGCTTAGTTAGGGCTGATTAGATTCAGCCCCTAGTTTTACTGATATAGGCTTAGTTTGTCGGGGGACATCTTACTTCTTCCTTCTCTCTGTCTATACCTGTGTACTCTCATGTTCCGATTAACCCAGCTTCCCCAAATGTCTTTCTTTTTGGTGTCTGTATACGCTGGGATCCGGAGTCATGGATGATCCTGCGCTCCTCTGTCCTGGATCTTGAGTCGTGGCTGTGGTCCTGGATCATAGGTCCTGGATGGATATCCTCGTGGATTCATCTTCCTATTATACACACATGCATTTCCAAACATTTGGACTACCTATGTTGCAAATGTATTATCTTTTCAATTTACACACGGCATCTATTGCACGTCTGTCCGTCCTGGGAGAGGGATCCCTCCTCTGTTGCTCTCCCTGAGGTTTCTCCCATTTTTCCCTTTAAACTGTGGGTTTTCTTCGGAAGTTTTTCCTTGTACGATGTGAGGGTCTAAGGACAGAGGGTGTCGTTTTGTCATACTGATATTTTGTACAAACTGTAAAGTCCACTGAGACAAATGTAACATTTGTGATATTGGGCTATATAAATAAACATTGATTGATTGATTGATTGATAGCGGATTGATGTCAACGGGTCTTAAGAAATTCGAAAGTAATACATAGGCTATATTAAGAGAGCCGTGACTACACCTAGCCTACATATTTTTTTACTGTTACTTTTAATCAAGTAGGTGCGGTGGTGATTTCCCCCCAGTGCTCCAGCTTGTCCCCCAGAAGTATGAATTAAAGGCACTGGAGAAATACAACAACAACAAAACACGATTCTTATATAGTTTCTCCTGTTTTTTCCAGGTGAAGGGATCTCTGCATTAAGTAGAGGACAGTGTCATCCACACCTATGCCAGATTGATAGACAAACTGTATAGGCACTGGTACCATACATGTTTTCCACAGCAGTGGTACCCTTCCTTGCTTCAGGCTCAGGTTAAAGAGGAACTTTACAATCCCACACAGATTTGAGGAGCCTTGAGCCTCCTTAATATTCCACCTCAGCTCCCTTAGAACAATCCTCAGCTCCTTTTGTATTATCTGACTAAAAAAACAATAAGCTTTATATTTATATTATCATACATTTTACCTCCTTGTCTCGATTAATTGTATCAGGGGATACCATTGTATCCCCTGATACAATGGTATATTTTGCTGCATGTACCTTTTAAAGAGGGGAATTTCTTGTTGTTTGTTTTTAACTTGTGATGTGTCATTTTGTAAAACACTTTGAGCTGCATGTGTTATAAATAAAGCTTTATTATTATTAGTATTATTATTATTATTATTATATGTATCTGTAAAAAAAAATAAAAAAAAACATCGCATCACAGTCAGACCAAAAGGCATACAAGCCTATAAGACAAATATACAAATAAAAGGTTTTCTATTCAAATCAGGAGAACAAACGTTTTCAAAGCCATCATCTGATATATAGAGTTATATATCAGATGATGGCTAACACGCTGTGTCAAAGAGTTAGATCACAACCAACAGGCATCAGTCTAGTTACGTATTACATAATTTAAATGAGCAGATATGGTTTCCCATTCAGAAGAATACGGACCAATCAGAAGCCGTGCTCCGCTGAGGCGGGGCATCACACCAGCCACTCTGCTCGCTCATTGGGCACTGGCCGCTATGCCCATGACTCGCCAGCCAATCAGAGGCGTCGGTCGATCAGACAACGTTTGGTACTGAGAGCCGCATTTTTTCCTTCGTGCAGCTGCATCTCGGGACGCTTCGCTTTGATTTGTAAACATCTCTGCAGGCTTACACATCAGTTTGTTAGAGTAACAGCAGCAAACCTAAAGCAACATGGACATCCTGAAGTCATTGGGGCACCCGGAAGAGATATTCAACCTATTTAAATTTAAAATGGGGGGATGCAGCACTGTGATGCGAAAGTTGGATTATGTGAGTAAACCCTCTTATTGAACAAACTGAGAATAACTTTCATTTCTACATAATGCTACGGTCATATGAAGACAGTGTGCAGGTTGTATTGCATACAGGATTTCATTTTCAAATGTGCCTTTCGGATCATAGCACATGATGTTCCTCATTTAAGAGCATCACCACAAAAAGGTTGTAGGTAGTGAAACAGAAACCCACAGAGGCATGCTCGGTTTTGCTTCTGCATGAGTTGAAGGAAACAGACTCTGCTAGATGCACTAATGAGATCTCTCACTCTGTGTTGGCTCAGGTGTGCACAGATTGATATGACCATTGACTTGGGATTTACGTTACATAAGGAGCTTGGAGGGTTCAACAGCAGGGAGAGATGATGTGCGCATGTTTACCGGCTAATCCCAATGTTTTAACACCAATGTGATCCAGAGAGAGAGAGCGAGTCTGCAAATACTGTATACATGGTTTTAAGTTAAGTTAGTTTAGCCTGGTTGGGAGTATTATTAAATGACCCAAAAGCATATCCCTGCAAAGTGAAGTTAACCTAATAATAGGAATACAAAGATAGTGCTGGAAACAAGCGCTTTGACAGTAGCAAGACAAGCCCTCACTTTCCTGTAGTACAAATTGTGTCTTTGTTCAGTAAGTCATACTTATTATAGATGCTACTACAGTGCAAAATCCAACTGTGACGAAGGTAACTAGTTATGCTGGTGTAAGGATGACAGCGGTTGAGAGTAATCGGGGTGCAAATAATATATTGTGTGCACCTGGTGTCCTGTGTTGTCTCCTCCCCCCTCACCTGTGTCTTGTTGTGCTGATTAGAGTGTGTGTATTTAGGCTCTGTTTCCCTGTCTGTTGAAGAGGCTGGTAGGGTGTGTGAGATCCTTGTGGCTGCAGGATGTGTGCAAGGAGAACAACAGGATTGAGGCTGTGAACTTTGTGCACATGATTTTAATAAATGCCCACGTCGGGTTATATTTTTGGACGTTCTGCCTCTGCCTCCTTGCTTGGTCTGGGCCGCTCAACGGTCAGTCTCACACCAACCCAGACATCTAGATGTGCATTTAGTTTCCATCAGCTATAGATGTATTAGTACCAGCTGTTTGTCCAATTTTCTGTGATCTGCCAGATTTATGACTTGATAATATGCTAAAATTTTCATGCAAACGTTTACTAACCTCTGACCACCAGCAATTCATTTTGGGTGAATGAGGCTATTGCAAAAGTTGTGACCCTATAACATTTAGATTGTCATTCATTTGAGTTATAGTAATAGTCAGTCATTTCAGCTGTTTATATTTTGAAAAAAGCATCAATATTTGACCACTGTTAACCCTCCAGCATCACAGAATCTGACAGGTCACAGATTTGACTTCAACACCTGACTCCTCATACATCTTACTGTACTTCCCACTGTCTGCCACCAGGTGTCCACACCATACACTGCTATGCATGTATTTTTCGCAGCAAACTTGTCGTTATCAGACACAAATAAAACAGTTTATTCTCACCAAGCAAATTTGCCGCAGTAGGATTAACACTTATATCTTTAACATTTTTTTCAATATTTCAAAAAGAAATGCGGTTGATTATTAATAGTACGTAAGGTAATTGATTTATAATGTATTTCAATGTGAAACATCTTAAACGAGTCGTTACTTTACTTGTAGAGCATAGTTTGTCAGCGCACCTCTTATAAATAAAGTTGAGGAAAAAATGGTCAACATACGCAGAAGCAACTGAGTGCTATTTTTAATATGATGCGTTTTCCACTCACAAAACCTTCTATTCTTTAATGTAACCGTCCGCTGTGATCCAGAAGGGTTTTAAACAGAAGTGCATGTTGAGTTTTAGCCTTATTTCCTAGATGTAAACTGCAGCAAGTTGTGAAACACGCAGCTGGTGTTGTTGTTGGGTAAAGGTGGGAGGAGCAGTAAAATCATAACAGCAGATCTACAAACGCTCTGCGCAGACCCGCTCCTCTACGCAGCATGCTACGCAGTGAGGGAGCTGCTTGGAAGTCAGTGGCGTTCCTCGCCTCACCCGACCCTCCGCTCACTTGTCCTCTAGGATACATGTTTCAAGCTTCCCCACCAGCCGTAGCGTCGACATGCACAGAGTCGTTTCATAGTTGCAGGGTCGGTCGTGCAGGGTGTCCGTATGGCCGGAGCTTGCTGCAAGTGTAACTTCTCTCTGTCCGTGTTCAAGCGCTCTCTGTCGGTGGCGCCGCGTGGCTGCGGGTCCGCTCCTCGGTCCCTCCTCTCGTGCTGGAGACTGGGGGAGCGGGCCCTGCAGGAGGCCGCCCGACCCTCCAGCGCCCTCAGACCCGCATGTTTTTACCGACACTCGACCTTCTCCTGTCTCTCTTGCCAGGAATCCATGAGTGAGAGTCTGCGGACCTGCTATCTGTATCTGAACCAAACCAGTCGCAGTTTTGCAGCTGTCATTCAAGCGCTGGACGGGGAGTTGAGGTGAGTCATGCAGAATATGTTTCTCTGTTGTCCACGTTCATAAAGCATAAAACACCATCAGAGCACGGTGCAGAGTCTCTAGATGAGTGTACAGTAGTCCGTTCTTATGAAACATCCATGTAGCCCGCTGTATAGAAAACGGTAGTTTCCCCACAGCAGACGCGTATTCATGACGTCTGCTGGCGCATCATAAATACGTCGGATAGTGAAATTGCAGTCGATTCTCAAGGCACCGCAGTCTCTTTTCCTAAATCCTTTTGAATTCTCCTATCCACTATTCCTTAAACCCGTGACCTTTCGCACAGAGGTTAAGCAAGTCGATAGGAATAGACGATAGTAGCTGACTTTAACTGCAGCATTGGCTCCAGGTGGAGGGGTGTGTCTGTGGGCATGTTTTCTTCGTGAAGGGCAGATGGGCGTTGGCTGGGGTACTTCTCTTTTCTGCACTAGTAGTTCTCTGAGTAACACATGTGCATAATGTACAAAAGACACATTAATGTGATTAACATCGTCAACACCACTATCAGCAGTTTAAACATAATACTCGGATTGCATCCATTATGTTATGTGGTGCATTTGTCTTTGATATTCATATATGTACCAAAAGTACCCACAAATGACGGTGTCATCTGTGGAGTTGCAACCGTGTCTGACACAAGACACAGCTGCTCCATGCAGACTGTTTGTGTCAGGCACTCAGAATGTATAAGTCATTCTTTTGAAGACATTTTGCACATGATAGCTTATCAATTCAACAACAGGTATCAGCCTCAACAAACCAAAGTCCACTGCAGGACTTATTGATTTAAGTAATTTCTTGTACCAATACAAACGCACAGTTGGCAATAGTTTGCTGTCATTTACCAAGGAAATAAGGCTACATATATGTGATGTATTTAGATTCAGTATGACAAAGCACTTTATACAGTACATTTATTTTTTATGTTGATCTACCTATGTAGCCTTATGTTTTTATCGGTTTGTTTTTATCTGTTTTGTGTTTAGCTTTTTATCTTATTTATTGATGTGTGTTTTGTCTTTGTATGTGATATGGACCTTGAGTCTGGAATAAAGATTGGAAAATACCTCAACAGATCAACAGAATGATTGATCAGCTTATCTGCTCATGTCTCAATGTCACACTTAATCAAACAAACACAGATGGACATTTAATGAGTAAGTTATTAAACATGAAATACACATCCTAAGTGTGTGGGTGTCCACTTTATATATCCTCGGTCGGAAAGAATCCTCTACATATAGACTACCCTGACCTGTGACGACCTCTTTGACACGCCTGCTATTTTTGTCTTTTGATTCATGCATCTTTTCAGTCAGCATGTGAAAAGACACTAAAAGCATTCTCCTATCTTTCTGATCCAGGCATGCAGTTTGTATTTTCTACCTGGTGCTGCGAGCGCTGGACACGGTGGAGGACGACATGACGATTCCTATGGACAAGAAGGTCCCCATGCTGAATGATTTCCACACCTTCCTGTACCAGGATGAGTGGCGCTTCACCGAGAGCCAGGAGAAAGACCGACAGGTTCTGGCAGATTTCCCCACGGTCAGTAGCTCGGCATGGTTTTACTTGGAACGGCCTGAAATATACTAGGCTCTCAAGAGTGTCATTTACTGATGTAGTTCCTTTATAAATGTCTAGGCTGGTATTCGATAGAAAAATCTGAAGTGGAATCTTTGTCACTTCTGTCTGTTACTACAATCTTTATATGTACTTGCATTCCAGATATCAGTGGAGTTCAGAAACCTCGCTAAGGAATACCGAGACGTCATCTCAGATATCTGCCACCGTATGGGAGTAGGAATGGCTGAGTTCCTGGAAAAGAAAGTGGGATCCATGAAGGAGTGGGACCTGGTAAATATCAACCTTATCTTAAAATAACAGCAAAAATGTTAGATAAATGACAGGAATATAACAATGACTTGTACTAAATGGCAAAAGTACATATCCTTACAACACAAACAGATATCTAACACAGTTTATAATACCCTGCACTTTCCGTAACATAAGATATGAAAAAATATATGCTATTTTATTTTTCTATATGCAATATTGACTTGTATCTCTGCAGCTTCATTCTGTCTTACCGATGTGTTTAAGTCATTATGGTAACTTGATTTTGATGCAGTCTTGCAATACACCACGTAAAACCTTCTATAAAACCAACAGTTTGTCTATGACTTTGACAATATTGAATAAATGTTTTGAAATCTTTGGATGTTAGAATAACTGTGTTTGCTTAATCATAAACCAGAATACATATCATGCTTAGACAATGAAATCTGATTCCATGTGGTCTTCTGTTATCCTCAGTATTGCCATTACGTGGCGGGGCTGGTTGGTATCGGCCTGTCTCAGCTGTTCTCTGCGTCCCAGCTGGAGGACCCAGAGGTGGGGCGTGACACCGAGATGGCTAACTCCATGGGCCTGTTCCTCCAGAAGACGAACATCATCCGAGATTATCTGGAGGACATTCAGGTGGGACGCGCCTTCTGGCCTCAAGAGGTAAGAACCTTTCCTCTGTCCTGGTTTGAGTGTTTGTTTGCCTGATCACCACAGTTTTGCAATTTGATAGTAACAGAAATGCAGAATATACAGATTTTACAAACAAAGACCAACATTTTTAAGTCAGCTAGTGTCTCAAACATGTTTTATGTATATTGTGTCTCTTACTAAATATAAAAACTGACATGATTCCTTTTGACTTCTTGCTGATGTTGCTTTGAGGTTTACTGAATATTGATTTTTTTTTTTTAAAAACAGTACCATATGGGATGTGTTAATATCTCGTGTCCCCGTGCAGGCTTGGAGTCAGTTTGCAGGTCGTCTGGAGGACTTTGCTCAGCCTGAGAAGCTGGACTCGGCTCTCTCCTGTCTCAACTTTCTGGTCACTGACGCTCTGCGACACGTCCCCGATGTTATCGCCTACCTGTCCCGCCTGCAAAACCAGAGCGTCTTCAACTTCTGCGCCATTCCACAGGTACACACTGACTTATGACTTATTACTGTGGCTGTGAGGTAGGTTATGGGTTCGATCCCAGCTCCTGCAAACAACATTTCGATGAATCCTTGGGCAAGATACTTAACCCAAAGTTGTTTCCAATAGAAGTGGTTGAATGTTAGCTTGCCTGAGGTGATTGCACTTTGCATGTCAAAGTTTGGATTGGTGAATAGTGACTTTGAGAAGTTGCAAATAATGGATAAATGCTTATGAAAATGCTATATAAATACTGTCCATTTTACATTTACTACCTTTCAGTGTACTTCCTTTTCCATGACTAAGACGAGATAAAACGGCATCGCATCATTAAATGCTAACTGCTACTTGACCAACATGCAATATTGTTGATGAGAAAAAAGGAGGCAACAATATAGTATAAAAGATAGGAAACTTTACCAACAAGACAAATGTCATTATTTATTTAAGTCCTTTCCTTCAACTACATGTTTATCCTCTCCTGATCAGGTGATGGCAATAGCTACTCTGTCGACTTGCTACAACAACCCCATGTTGTTCCAGGGAGTGGTGAAGATCAGGAAGGGGCAGGCGGTCACGCTCATGATGGAGGCCACCAACATGAGAGCCGTGCAGACCATCATGGCCAAGTACAACCAGGAGGTGGGTGTGTCGTCGTGTTTGCTGCCCTGCTTTCACCATATTGGTGCCCTTTTAAAAAAAGAATTTGTCTTTATTTGTTATCTTTTCAAACAGCAATTTAACAACCACATAACTCATAAATGTCGATACATATTACTCAACCAGAAAAGAGAGGGAAAACAAAACCAAACAACACAAATAACCCCAAAAAGACTAAACACAAATATTTTACGAATACACCCATATTCATACATCATACAGCTCCAGCCATGATAATATCTAGCTTCTGCTTTTCTCCCAAGATTTTAATTCAGTAAAAAATGTTTATCCCACTTAGATTTCCATTTCGTTCTATTCTTTCTACTTCTTCCGTTTTTACAGGAAACACAGTTTCAGTCAAACGTTAAACCCAGTCAGTTAGTTCTGAGGCCTGTACTACGAAACAGGATTTTCGCTTAGCGAGCTAACTTCAGGGAAAACTCTGGATTTCCGGTCCTACGACGCTGGTTCACTTCTTAGCGGGCTAGATCTCCACGGTAACTTATGCTGAACGGCTAGCCTGCTCCGGAGCAGGTTAGGTTGCAGGCTAAGAGATCAACTCAGTGAAAGCACTACCTGCTGACCAATCAGAGCTCCGTGTGCCGAGTTTAAAGCTATCAAGTCATATTACAGGAGAAAGGAAATACAGAAAAACTGCCGTTGCAGGAAAGACGGCCGGCAAAAATCACCTGACTGTGTGAACGTGAAAATTAATAGAATATCACCTCCCATCTTCAGAGCAATCTGACTATTATAACATTAGCGTTAAGAAAGCTTACTTAAATATCTGCCACAACATAAGTAACCGGATCAGAGTAACATTACGTACAGTCCGTGGCATATCACTTCATAATGTATCATATATTTCCTTATCTGAGTCAGCTGAGCTGTATCTGGCCGTGCAACACTCACAGTGTCACATACTGTATGCAGATGTATTATTTTAAGCAACACATTAAGTTGACGAAACACTTGAGTCAAATGTAATTAAAGTCAGATCCACTCGTGTCTTAGACGGGGCAGTGATATCATAAACCTGTTAATGTACGCATTCAAACACTTTTTCTTTTGCCAGCTGTATTCACCTTGCAGGTGCAACTATGTGGCTTTTATCCTGGATAAAGTGTTTAAGTCATGGATGTTTAAAGTTTAACGTCTTCATATTTGTCTAATATTATAGTTTACTTTTCATTCAGGAAGTATGACGCTGCGCTGTCAGTGCGCTTCTCCATGTTTGTGATTGGTCAAATGTTGACCAAGTGGTCAAATGTTGCTAACCCCGCCCCCTTTTTTCATGTGAACGCGCATCTAACTAGATAGGACACGGCTGGCTTGAGCGATCCACTTGATAACCAGCGTCGTAGGACCGTTTAGCGAGAGCGCGTATGTTTTGGATTAGGCCAACCGGCTAACTCAAACATATCCAGGTTATGTTGAACCGGCTTCGTAGTACAGGCCTCTGGTGTTCTGCGAAACAAGTCTTGCTGCAATAATAAAACTTCTCAGTTTTAATGCAAACTGTGCTTTGGTGACACCCAGTGGTAAAAGTTTAAGTGTTTTCTGACACAGACATAACATACCCACACTGAGTGCAATTTTGTATGGATATTATTTTATTATTTCTTCTTATGTTTTGTAAGTAAGATATATTTTATTGTTTTATTTTGTATGTCTTTCTACTCTAGTGTATGTTTTTCTTAATCCAGCCTCCCATCTAAAGTATTTCACATGATTGTACTGAGTGACACTTAACATCCCGTTCTCCCTCTCTGCAGATTATACAGAAGGTCTCCCACACGGACCCGACCCGGGACAAGACCCTGCGCATCCTGGCTCTAATCCGGGAGAAGTCGGCCGTGTCACAGAGCAACCTGACCTCCAGGACCGCCCACCTGTCGCCCATGTACCTGTCTGCTGCCATGCTGCTGGCCGCTCTCAGCTGGCAGTACCTCAGCACCACCGCAGCACAGGGCACCGGGGACATGAAGGGACAGTGAACCCATTGACCCTAACCTCACCGGGGCCCACAGACTCAGAAAGCCCCTTTTTTCCCACTCTGGATGTCCAGTTCCTTTCTATCTGGAATCTGAAACACTGCCCTCCTTACTACAGCCTTCAGAGGAACATGGACATATTTAAACTATGGAGGGTTTCTGGTAGCAGGCTGGTCTCTTTAGGTTGTTTGACAGTGATTTATAGTAGTCCATCCTGCATCTGGATACATTAATTACACAACATGTTGTGTGTTTATATTCACCAGCATAAATCGCACATTAAAACAATTCAGGGTGTTTTCTTGTTTGTTTATGTTGATTCTGTTCTTTTTTTGTTTCATTTGTAACATGTTTACCCCTTGAATAAAGTTATTCAGCATATTTAACATTTAAAGACAGAAGGTAGTAATTTTTCCCATTAATTGGTAAATGCAAATTACATGACACTGCCCTTTTCAAGGATCTAAGAGAAGGCAGTCACTAATTCCATTAAGTTTTTGTTTGATTCTGTGTCAACTCTTATATTTTTCAGGTCAAATTTAAAGCTAGTTTAATATCCATCTCACTATGTTTCTTCAGGAGAAACACTCAAAGTAAATATAAGTTACAATCCTGCACTTTCTAGTCAATCTGTTGCATCTGCATCCTCCAACACTATAACTTTATTTCACTACTTATATGTCTTTGTGTTTCATTTATATGGCTTTTGAAATAGGAGGAAAAAATAAACTATTCCTATGTAGTTTTTACATGAACTTTTTAAATGAATGGGGGAGAACAAATGTAATTTCTGATACATTTCATATCTGAAAAAAAACCATATCATGACTGCTAGCTAAAGTGTCCTTAACGCAGCTTTGGTGAGTAGAAAGGCTTGCACAGCGTTACCTTGTACAGAACCAAATGAGAGCTACAAACATTGCTCTGTAATGTGACATTTTGATTTGTACATATATGAGACAAATAAAGAAGTTAAATAATCTAACCAGCTTGAATTGTTATTGTGCAAACAACACGATAACCTGTTGAAGTGGGTGAATATTTTAATAGAGCCTAGACTCTACAATTGTACAGCATTGTTCAAAGGTTGATATTGGGACAACCCTGTGGTTGTCCACCAGTTGGTGCTGCTGTAACCTGTGTGTTTGTTGTAATCAGCAGTGATGGGACCCACCTGTGGCGCATTCCAGGATATAAAAGGGCTGCAGAACAGGCTCTCGGTCTCTCTCAGCTGCCCTGCTCGGTGCAGCAGGACACCGCTCCTTTGTTCTGTTTTATTGTTGTTTGTAACCACTGTGTTGCATAAAATAAATGATTGTTTTGGGCAACTCCGGTGTGGAACTGTTGTCCTTATGTTACAAGCAGAGCCAGCTTGTAACATATGGGGGCTCGTCCGATCCAAGAACCAGGTGTTCGTTGTTTACTTGATTTGTTTGCATTGATTGTGTTGACAGTTTGTTCCTGGTGTGGGGCATTAAGGAGTAGCTTTGGAATTACCTTTCCTGATAGGCATAAGCAACATCTCCTTCAGGGGAGCTTGTTGGTTTGTTATTAGGGCCCGAGCACGAAGCGCTAGGACCCAACGGCGTCCTAGCACGAAGTGCGAGGAACCTATTGTTATTGGTGGAATTATTAGGGCCCGAGCACGAAGCGCTAGGACCCAACAGCGTCCTAGCACGAAGTGCGAGGCACCTATTGTTATTGGTGGAATTATTAGGGCCCGAGCACGAAGCGCTAGGACCCAACGGCGTCCTAGCACGAAGTGCGAGGCACCTATTGTTATTGGTGGAATTATTCTTATTCTTCTTAGTTGCCATCATTCCTGTTTTTGAGGGCTTTAGGACGGTTAAAAAGTTGTATAAATTTGCACGGACGCCAGGACTGGTAAAAACTACAATATTCTGAAGTCAATGGGTTAAATATTCCAACCTGCTCACGAGCGCCCCTATCAAAATCCCATTTCGGAATACATTTACAAAGTCGCACCGTAACTCCGAATGACCTGACATTTTGCACACATATCCGGGTGGACCTGCTCTACAAATAATCCAATTGGAACCCTAAGCTCCGCCTACATTTTTTTTTTTTTAATTGGCATAATGTACATAAACAGTTAAATATTCACTTAAATTTCAATTTTCAGTTTTTCAACACCAAACTTCGTATACAGCATCGGTGGAGGGTCAGACACATTACCCTAGGAGATGAGCATGTTCAAACGATAGATATTTCCGCCATGAATTAAAACGTACTCGCAAAAAGGCGGGGCTAAGAAAGAAATGCTCATAACTCATCAACAATGTTTCCAAACATCACATATGTTGGTAAATAGGTTCAGACTGTCTTTGGGAATAGGCACAACAAAGCATTTTCTTTTTGGACTATAGGGGGCGCCAAAAACACCACCAATTTATAACTCAAGAGCGGATGGACTAATCTTTTTTTTTTTTTTTTACACATACTCTCGGGGCAACTACGAACTCAGATTTAAAGTGTCGCAACGAATGCAGAATGTGGGCGTGGCCTATATATTTTTTAAAATTGCGATAGCATAAAATGAGCTTCGAACGCAAAACTTGGGACACACGTCAGAGCCCACGACCTTTTCGAGAATGTAAAAAAAAACGTAATTTTTCAAAAAAACTGCTCACTATTGTGTGGTAGTCACATATAGTTTCTCAGAACTTCACGAATCTTGGCACAGATATTCCTCATGGAATTGCGGACATATTTGTAAATAGATTCCATTAGCCCCGCCCCCCAGGAAGTCGGCCATTTTGAAATATGTGCGTTTTTCATGCATTTTAAGCACATTCTTGCAAACTCCTCCTAGGGGAATGATCGTAAAAATTCCAATGCAGGACACGTTCAGCCCCTATCCAATATGATGCTAAATTGAGAAGAACATTTTTGATAGCTCAATCGTGGAGGTCGTTAGCTAACAGCGAATACACCATTTTTGACGATTTACATGTCGCAAATTACTCCAAACTACTCGGATATAGTTGTTCCGATATTCACGAAACGCTGTATACATATTGCTATTATGATTGCACACATATTTCACATTGCCTCCCATTAGCCCCGCCCACCAGAAAGTCGGCCATTTTGAAAAATGTGCGTTTTTCAGCCATTTTAAGCACATTTCTGCGGACTCCTCCTAGGGGTACGATCGGAAAAATTCCAATCCAGGAAAATTTCAGCCCATTTCCAATGTGATGCTAAATTGCGAAGGAATAGTTGATCGCTCAAACGAGGACTTCGTAAGCGAACGGAGAACTTTCCATTTTTGACGATTTACATGTCACAAATTACTCCAAATGACTCCAAACTACTCGCGTATATTTTTTTCCAATATTCACAAAACGCTGTATACATATTGCTATTATAATTGCACACATATTTCAAATAGCCTACCATTAGCCCCGCCCCCAAGAAAGTCAGCCATTTTGAAAAATTGGCCTTTTTCATGCAATTTAAGCACATTCTTGCAAACTCCTCCTAGGGGAATGATCTGAAAAATTCCAATCCAGGACACATTCAGCCCCTATCCAATATGATGCTAAATTGAGAAGAACATTTTTGATAGCTCAATAGTGGAGGTCGTAAGCTAACAGCGAATACACAATTTTTGACGATTTACAGGTCACAAATTACTCCAAATGACTCCAAACTACTCGCGTATACTTCTTCCAATATTCACGAAACGCTGTATACATATTGATATTATGATTGCACAAATATTTCAAATTGCCTTCCATTAGCCCCGCCCCCCAATAAGTCGGCCATTTTGAAAGATGTGCGTTTTTCAGCCATTTTAAGCACATTCTTGCAAACTCCTCCTAGGGGAATGATCGGAAAAATTCAAATCCAGGACACGTTCAGCCCCTATCCAATATGATGCTAAATTGAGAAGAACATTTTTGATAGCTCAATCGTGGAGGTCGTAAGCTAACAGCGAATACACCATTTTTGACGATTTACATGTCGCAAATTGCTCCAAACTGCTCGCATATAGTTTTTCCGATATTCACGAAACGCTGTATACACATTACTATTATGATTGCACACATATTTCAAATTGCCTTCCATTAGCCCCGCCCCCCAGGAAGTCGGCCATTTTCAAAAATGTGCGTTTTTCATGCATTTTAAGCACATTCTTGCAAACTCCTCCTAGGGGAATGATCGGAAAAATTCCAATCCAGGACAAGTTCAGCCCCTATCCAATATGATGTTAAATTGCGAAGAAAATAGTTGCTAGCTCAAACGGGGAGCTCGTAAGCTAACGGAGAATGTACCATTTTTGACGATTTACATGTCACAAATTAATCCAAACTACTACATTTCCATTTTTGGAAACCTTTACAAAGTGACCCCGTAACTCAGAATGACCTGACATTTTGCCCACTTATTCGGGTGGACCTACTCAACATATTATGTCCTCGAACCCCAAAGCTCCACATACTTCATTTTTTTTTAATTAGCATAGCCTAATGTTAAAAACAGTGAAATATTACCTTAAATTTCCATGTTTTCTTTTTCAACGCCAAACTTAGTATACAGCATCAGTGGAGGGTCAAACACATTACCGTAGAAAATGAGCATGTTCAGTAGATAAATATGCCCGTCATTAATCTAAATGCGGGGCTTAGAAAGAAATGCTCATAACTCCTAAACCACACACACACACACCGACTCTGCTGGCGGCAAAATCAATTACAACAGACACCTATACACTCCACAACAGACACCTACTGACTGTACAACACACACATACAGCTCCTAAAGCATATAATGTAGATCAGGCTACAGCCCTTGTATATTTTATTATGTGAAGCACTATATGGTTTCATGAAAAATATCTACTGTTTACTTGTAGATATCTACTAAAGCATACAAATAAAGTGTGTAATGCCTGTTACATATATTATTGATGTTCTCACTGTAAACATCGCGTCACAATGAAAGCGGTTGTATTAAAAAAAAATAGCCTAACATCCAGGGGAGATGTGATTAGTGAGTAAACAAACGGTAAAGCGCAGAAAGTCTGATGCACATTTGATCATCTTGAATAACTTATCACAACGGGAACAGTTTGCAGAGCTGTGCTTCGTTGACAAAAGTCCAGCCATGCGTCACGCCTCTTTTAAACATCACTGTTGGCTAAAATCGACTCCCGAGAACTCATCAGTGTACCCTCGGTTATAGCTCCTCCAGAGATACTCCTTTCTCCTCTAAATCAGTGTATCCTCGGTTATAGCTCCTCCAGAGAGACTCCTCTCTCCTTTCTCCTCTAAATCAGTGTATCCTCGGTTATAGCTCCTCCAGAGAGACTCCTCTCTCCTCTACATCTTTGTACCCTCGGTTATAGCTCCTCCAGAGAGACTCCTCTCTCCTCTGCATCAGTGTACCCTCGGTTATAGCTCCTCCAGAGAGACTCCTCTCTCCTTTCTCCTCTAAATCAGTGTATCCTCGGTTACGGCTCCTCCAGACAGCCTCCTCGATAATCGATCCTCGACGAGCCTTTAGAGAAATTTGTTTTCCTTCGAGACGGCGCGCCGACATCCGTTTTTGGGTCGCTGCCGGAGGACCTGAGAGTCTGGGACGCGAAAATTATAGAAATGAGAAACGGCTCATTTCCCAGGACTCGCGCGCGTCTGCTTGACGCCGGGACGACCGGCTGCCCTCCCCGACAGGCGCACGGACGCGAGGGCCCGCTCATCACTGCGCGCACAAGTGCGACCGCAGTTTTAATTTTTGATTGTTATTTTTGTGCATAAACATGATTCGACATTTTTTTGTCATGGGTACACGTCCGTGGCTGTCTTGGTGAGTAACAGCTTCGCTGGGGCTTTACCGAGTCATTGGGTAAGTGTTTAAAACACCTGTCGTGGCATGCATGAAGACTAGGGTGAGACAAGATAGCTAGTATTGGGTAGGCAGTTAGCTAGGGGAGAGGTATTCCAGAGTGAAACAAAAAAAAAATATATTTTTAGTTGTCTGGGCACCGGGTTCAAGGCAGTTTGCATAATCATGGCTACATTGACAGATTTTGTGAAGTGTCCCAGTGTGGAACTACTAGAAAAATGTACTAAAGACCAACTGTTAAAAATTGCAGAGCATTTTGAGGTAGACGTTCCAAAGCAGGGTCGTAAAGACACCATAGTGACTATGTTACAGGCCCAGTTGATACTGCAAGAAGTTCTGCCAGCAGGGGCTGTCGATGATGGCTCCGAGGAGGAGTTGGCGAAGGCAGATATAAATCCAGAGCGTCAGAGAAGTGCAGGTTTTTCTTTGTTTGACTTTGGTGAAATGACATTTGAACAGAGAAAGGAAATAATGCTGCTGCAGTACCAACAAGACAGTGAACGTGAGGAACGAGCAAGTGCTTGTGAGGACCGGGCTAGCTCGTCACCAGGAGACTGAGATGGAGCGTTTAAGGTTAACTACAGTGGTGCGGGAAGCTGAATTGCAACAAGAGCGTTACAAGTTGGACCTCATCCAAGAGGGTAAGCTTTGTGTCCCCAGCTACTTTTGATATAGCTTATAACTTGAGGTTGTTACCGAAATTCGAGGAGAAGACTGTATTCTTTTTTTGGACTTTTTGAGCGACTTAGCCAAAGACGACAGTGGTCTGATTCAGAGAAAACATTGCTGTTACAGTGTGTGTTAACTGGTAGGGCTCAAGAAGCATTTTCTGCATTAAGTATGGCTGACAGTGAAGATTACTTAAGGGTAAAGACTGCAGTGCTAAAAGCTTATTAGTTGGTGCCTGAGGCCTACTGTCAGCAGTTCAGGAAGCTAAGGAAGTCAGAAGGACAGACCTATGTGGAACTTGTTTGGGAGCTGACGATGAAATTTAATCGATGGGTCACGGCTTCCGAAGTAGTAAATCTTAATGATTTGAGGGAACTGTTCCTTCTTGAACAATTAAAAGATATTCTTCCAGAACGCGTTGCTACGTACCTGAATGAGAATAAGGTTAAAAATGTAACAGACGCCGGGGTGTTAGCTGATGAATACACGTTAACACACAAGATTCATTCAGGGGAGAGATTTGACTGGGGGAGCAGAGATAACTGGTCTGGTGCCCCAGATGTAAAGTAGATCCAAGTACTTGCTACTTTTGTTTGGGTAAAGGACACCAGAAAAAGGAATGCCCAGTACTTGCAAAAACCAAGGGACTCCAAAATGTTCAGTTTCCCAGGCCTGTTGCCCTTGCAGCTTCTCCCCACAAGGTTAGGGATGACGCTATAGCTGCGGTTAAACTCTATACTACCCCGCAACCAGTTGCTGCTGCGGTTTCTAACTACGGACCAGCCCTGCAAGAGGTGAAACCTCGCCCCTCCCAGTTGGCAGATGAAATTGATCCAGGGTATGCCCCTTTCATACGAGAGGGTTATGTGTCTTTGCAAGGAAGTGAAACAAAATTCCTTGTTAAGATACTGAGAGACACAGGTGCTATCGATTCATACATAACTGAGGGTGTTCTTCCATTTTCCTTGGTAACTGACACTGGAAGTGGTGTATTGTTCAAGGGAATGGGGATGCAGTTGTTGTCTGCTCCAAAGCATTGGTTGGTGTTGTCCTGTGATTTACGGCAGGGTGAGGTGGCCATGGGAGTCCGGCCATCTTTGCCTGTTCCGGGAGTGGCAGTCATCCTCGGAAATGACTTGGCTGGTGGCAGAGTGTGGCCTGATGTGCCTCTTTCACCAGTGGTGTCCTCTAAGCCAGTGAGGGGCGAGCTTGCTGACCTTGAGAAGAAGCTGACAAAGGTAGTTCCAGCTTGTGCAGTAACACGAGCCCAGACCTATAAAGCACAAGATAAAAAAGTCATTTCTGAGAATATTGTTTTGGCGCTACCTGTTGTTCCATTGTCTGTCTCTCGTAGTGAATTGGCAAAGAAGCAGCAGGAGGATCCAACTTTGCAGGAGCTTTTGTCCCAGGCTCACCCCAGTTTACCAGTCCCACTGAGGAAAGTCATCACCAAAGAGTCCGGCGTGCAGGTGAATGTCAAAGTGGATAAAACCGTGCAGTGCTTGCTGGGTCCTAAAACGCTGTTCTGCTCAGAGGGAGTGCCCCTGTCAAAGTCCCCCAAGAGCCCGGGGCCGGTTAAAGCAGAGGGGAAGGCCCCGTACTGCACTACACCGGTGAGCCACATGCGCTTCCTGCGGCCTGTGTCAATCTACTCCCCCGTGTTTGACCGCATAATCTCCAGGAAGAAACTCAGCTATGCGGATGAAAGTGAAGGAGAAGCCGACGAATCCGTGGATCACGTTGAGTCAGGGCATGAATGTGAGAAGGGTGACAGTGGCGAAGAGGACACCGGGAAGGACTTCAAGACAACTTTCCACAGGTCTACAAAGGGGTCCAGCTTTCAGTTCCTGGAGCAGAGGTATGGCTTTTTCCACTGCAAGAAATGCAACACCCGGTGGGAGAGTGCGTATGTTTGGTGCATCTCTGGAACCAGTAAGGTGTACTACAAGCAGCTCTGCCGGAAGTGTCAGGTTGGGTTTAACCCCTACAGGGTGGAGCCCATCCTCTGCAAGGACTGCTCTCAGACTACCTGCAACTGTGAGAAGAAGCTGCGGCACATTAACATGAAGAGGCCTCACCGCCAGGACCTGTGTTGTCGCTGAAAGGGCTCGAGGTTGTCCTGCGACGCCACCTACAGCTTCAAATACCTCGTCTGAGCTGCCCTGCATGTTTGCTCGGGTTTGGAAGCTCCCATTCCTCAGCAGACATTCAGTACATGCCACAAATGGAAGTTGACTCTCGTAACGGACTTTAAGATCTTTATATATTCTCCTACCAGAATAAACCACCAAAAGATGGAGATCTTTTGGTGGTTTATTTGAAGCAATCTCGAAAAATCTTTGTTTCCCCTAATTATCCTGGAGCTTAACTTAAACATAAACTATTTTTGTAAGGAAAAATTAAATAAATGTATGTTTCATGTAGTAGCTGTAAGTATAAGCTCTGTTATTTGTTTGGATGTTTCAGTGTCTTGGGGACACTTCTTTTATGGGGGGGGGGTGGTGTGACCCTGTGGTTGTCCACCAATTGGTGCTGCTGTAACCTGTGTGTTTGTTGTAATCAGCAGTGATGGCGCTGATTCCAGGATATAAAAGGGCTGCAGAACAGGCTCTCGGTCTCTCTCAGCTGTCCTGCTCGGTGCAGCAGGACACCGCTCCTTTGTTCTGTTTTATTGTTGTTTGTAACCACTGTGTTGCATAAAATAAATGATTGTTTTGGGCAACTCCGGTGTAGAACTGTTGTCCTTATGTTACAAGCAGAGCCAGCTTGTAACAATATGAGTCAACAATAATGTTAAGTTATAAATGTTCTCTATGGTTGCCAGGTCATCATTTTAAGATCACCTGTCAACCTTTGGAAAGACTTTTATTTCAGTCACATGTTTACTGACGATGCATTTATCACAGACATGTGATTGAATGACTTACTGCTGGTAAAAAGTGAGAGAACTTCAGTTCAGTGTCAGAAAGGATTTGCAGGAGGACGTTGATCAAAAACAACTACAGGTAAATGTTCAAGACCTACAGTATATTTGAGAGATCGTCTTTCTTGTGTTATATTGTGTTTAATTGTTCTCTTTAAAGCTGCTAGATTAATTTGCTTCTGTGACTCCATTTCCATCCTTGTAATTTATTTTTTAATTGATCAAAAACAACAATTTGGTTTAAAATATCAGCACTGCAATATGTGGCAATTCATTAATGCTTCTGAAAAGAACAGAGATGGATGCTAATAATAATAATATAAAAACATTATGTGCTACTATCTTGCATTCTGTAGTTGCCTTGGACTTGTACAGGTACCGCTTCGTCATCTTCAAATTGTACTCACTATTTGTTGAGTTGTTGAATTCATATTTTGAGAAGAAACAACATGAGGTTCCAGGGGTATTACAGGAGAATCCTGATCTAAATTAAATTGGCTTTCCTTGTGATGTTCATGCTGAAATGTTTAATGAACCGCAACTGCTCCCTTTTAAGGAAGAAATATGTTTAAGTAATACAACATTTTTCCTTCTAGGTGATTTTTCAGACTGTCATCTGGTTTGCAGGATGCATCCTCTGTCTCTCCTTTGTGTCGTTGTGACGGTCTCTGTCACCTTGGCACGTCCTCACCGCCCTCATGCCTCCTCAGAGATGGTGGACCTTATTAACAAAGCCAACACCACCTGGACAGTAAGTCAATTCGGGTTATTTTTTCTGATAACTGTCTTTTCAGCACAAAAAAACCTGCTGTCCAAGATTGCTGTGATTTCTTTAATCTCTCATTTAAGTTAATCTCTTTATGTCCAGGCTGGGCAGAACTTCTACAACATTGACATCAGCTATGTGAAGGGACTGTGTGGGACAATACTGAACGGACCCAGGCTGCCAGAGGTGTAAGTTTAATGAGTGTGAGAGGGCACAGATTTATGTGTGTGTGCAATCTCTCACATGCTCAAACAGGTGACAGTCAGCAGGTTAATCTCTGCAGAGATCAGTGATTGTCCTCTCTTCTTCAGGGTTCACAATACTGAAGGCATAAGGCTTCCCGACAGCTTCGACCCGCGCCAGCAGTGGCCTAACTGTCCCACAATCAAACAGATCAGGGACCAGGGATCCTGCGGGTCCTGCTGGGTAAGACAGGCCAACAAAAGGACACAACAGTTCAAGTGCATTTAAGAGCCAACTAGCATATTCTTAAACCAGTAATAAAATGTTCTTTCCCCACAGGCCTTTGGGGCAGTTGAGGCGATATCCGACAGGTTGTGTATCCACAGCAGTGGTCAGGTTTCTTTGGAGATCTCCGCTGAAGATCTGCTCTCCTGCTGTGATGAATGTGGCATGGGGTGAGTATATGAGTAGCAAAACAAGTTAATTCCAGGTCTTTTTAGAGGATATTAAACAACAACGCTCATGGAGTTTTTGTCCTCCTTTGGATGCAGCTGTTTCGGTGGTTATCCAGCTGTTGCGTGGCAGTTCTGGGCGAAAAAAGGGCTTGTGACAGGAGGCCTGTATAACTCCAACGTTGGTAAGCTGTGAACTGAAATGGATATTAAGTATTTTAGAAAATATCCCACAGCATTAGTTCTGATTGGTCTTACGTCTTGAAATCTACTATGAAAAAACGTTTAGCAAACATCTAATGGAAGAACTTTGAAATGTTTTGATCACATGACAAATCACACTTTAATTATTGTGGCAAATTCATGACAAATCTTTTGAAAATTATTTGAAAAATCAAATACTCAATTATATATGGACCCATGGGATAATTGTTCCCAAAATATGGTGAATATACTCATGTGCCCTGACTAAGTAATTAAGACCAGTTTGACTGATTTTGAACTTTATATCCCAGAGAACAAATGAGAAATTAAAAAGATTCAGCTGCAAATGGGTTTAAAGAAAAATCATAATTAAATTGACGGTGTGTTTGACAGGCTGCCGACCCTACAGCATCCCTGCCTGTGAGCATCATGTGAACGGGACCCGTCCTCCGTGTCAGGGAGAACAGGAGACTCCTAAGTGTGTGGAGCAGTGCGCTGATGGATACTCTCCATCCTATCAGAAGGACAAAACCTTTGGTACAGACCCCCAAACAATCAATTTTCCCACTCACAGTATTTTCTCTTTCTACACGGTTTTGTTAACTGTGTCTCCCTCTTCAGGTAAGCACGCATACAGCGTCCCGTCCAAACAGGAGCAGATCATGACCGAGCTGTACAAGAACGGGCCTGTGGAGGCAGCTTTCGCTGTGTATGCAGATTTTCTGCTGTACAAGACTGGTGAGTGAGACTGATTTGACTTTGCCGCTACATTAGCTACAACAAACTGCATGCACACAAACCTCTCCTCTACATACAGCAGCAAACAAGCAGGACAAGTAACCTCAGTATTTATATTTAAAGCAGTTTGACTAAATCTCAGAATGAAAATCAACTTTAAACCTGGTTTATTTTGCGTATTTCATATTTAGTCAGACACATAATTGTCCTGCAATCTATTTTTGCTTTTCGAGTTCCATTTTATAATCATAGTCATACTATAGGATTTTCCTACCTTTTTGTCTCATGACCCCTTAAAACGAAGCATTATGTGACCTCATAATCATTTAAGGCCATAATGTGGACATGTGTGGTCGAAATAAAAAAATTGTTTTCCTTGTCAGATTGTTATATTTGAAGTATTTGCACATTATGTGTTGAGAACAAATATTCAGTATTTCACAAAAAAACAAAACAGATTAAGGTTAGTGTATGTAACTGTCCTACAACATAGACACGTGATTAAAAGCATAGTTTATTCTCTATAAAATCTGAAGTTAAAAAGGAGAGACAATCACTATTGTCTTATAAGTGCTGTGTTATTGCAATGAATGTTCCTCTACTGTAGGTGTGTACCAGCATGTGACAGGAGAGATGCTCGGCGGTCATGCCATTAAGATCCTCGGCTGGGGGGAGGAGAATGGGATGCCCTATTGGCTCGCTGCAAACTCCTGGAACAGTGACTGGGGAGATAAAGGTACCACAGAACCAGGGTTTAAGGACGTCTTGTTTCTTGGTCACACATTCTTTCATTGTCATATAATCATAAAATGTTAAGAAGTGTTAATCATGTTTTTATGTCTTCTTGTTTCAGGTTTCTTCAAGATCAAGCGTGGAAATGATGAGTGTGGCATTGAGTCAGTGGTGGTTGCAGGAATCCCACTCAACTAGATGTTATGTGCTGGTTGTAAAAACAATTATCAAATTAAGTCATTCAAGAAAGATTAAAATAAAGACCTTGTTTTGTAAGAGACTGGTATATTGCATTTAAAGCCAAATATTTGGAGATTTATGTGATCAAATAAAAATAAATATATAAATAATAACTGTGCTTGCTTTGTTATTGTCATGAATAAATGATTATGATTATCTCCAAGTTTTTTTTCTCTACGAACTATACAGTACTTTTTCAGCAATTAAGCAGTTAAGAGTATGCATGACATATTGAGATGTTATTATTTGTTATTGCCTTTGTTTCAACATAGCCAATGTGGACTGAAACAAAGAGGATTAAAGGATTTGTTTCCTGTCGTGGGTGTAAAGAGTCTGAGGCCTGCAGCATAGAAAATAACTCTTACTCTGCTTTCATTTATAAGAAACAGAACGGTAACAATATTTTAAACATTTCAATTCTGTAATGTGCCAAAATAATTAACTTAGTTTATACCACCAGTGTGATAATGATGATTTAAGAACAATAAGTAGCCTCATTAAAAATGGGTAAAACAAGGGCATACGTGTTAAATTAACCTTATCATTTAGTTAACCTTCCTCTGAGATACATTTTAGTTGCATTTCTATAAATCTGTTATTTTTTCCAGTTATTTTCCTGCTCAACACCAGCAGTCCAGTAGGTGGAAGTAGTTCACCAAATTGTCATAGAGCAGACGCCGAAAATCCTAAAGAGAAGTTGGCAGCAGAACTGCATTGTGGGGTTTGTGGTCCGTCTGGTGAAGGCGGACCTTAGCGTTGTGCGGTCGCTGACATTGGAGGAGTCGCTTTAGCTTAACATACGATCTCCTGTTATGGTCTGAGAACCAGGAAGCGGCAGCTGCTGTAGGAAACACCGCTGCAGGTGGATACCCGCTATTTCCCACCCATTAGCGTCAGAGGTGATGGGACGTCCTCGGCTGTAACACATCTATACCGTTAGCTGATGGTGATGAAGGCATGTTGTCGGGCATTAGTGTAACCAACGTTACACGTATCTCTGTCTTTCCGCTGTGTCGGCTTAAGAGTCATTTACCGGTCCATACCGTTAGCTAGCAAGTTAGCTCTCTTCTGAAGCTAACTACTTAAGACAATAGCCATGTTTTTATCTCATTTCGACCTATGGAGAACATATTGGGATTGTCTTTCCAGACCTCACACGGTCCTCATCTGCTCCATTACGGCCGCACTATACTATCTGTGGGGCCGAAAGTGTCAGGTCAGTCACTGGGGTAAAGGTTAGCGGTTATGACTGCACTAAATACACCTTTTCTTTTGGATTTTCCCTCATCCCTTTTCCTATTTCAATATATTGTTTATATTTATTTATTAAATGCTTTTTATACTTTATTTTAGTTTATTGCATATTCCTTTAATTTCTATATTTCATTTTGAGTTTACTCTGTTTTATTTTTTTTGTTTCTTATATAATTACATGTTTGAATATTATTCTGTTTTTATTTTTCTTTGTTATTAATATTCTTATTTTTCTTATTTAATGTTATTTTATTTATCTAGTTTCTTCTCTTTTAAACGTTTTTGTTGATCAGGCAATACACAGCTGAGTGTCTATAAGGTGACATAACTTTCCACAAAAAGTCACCTTAAAGACCCCAGCTACTTCCTAATGTGACTTCCTATGAATATAATGTTACATAATAGTACAGTAGTACATTAGCTAACTGTGTTTTTTTTAAATTGATGGCACTTAAATGTAGATGTAAGTTATGTAAGTTATGAAGCCCTATGTTTCGGTCTGCAACTAATGATTATTTACCATCACTTCAGATTATAACTAAATATAACCTATTTGGCATTATAACTAGCATATTCAAAAATGAATATATTATATAAAAAGCACTTTAAATTAATGGTAAGGAGATTTAACAACATCTGGAACTCTATATTGTAGTTGTCATTTAATAGAACTGTCATTTGAAGCATTCGTTAGTGGTGAAAAACATGGTAATAAATGCGAAATTGAGAAACAACATTTAACATAGTAACATATATAAAACATGTCTTTCAACATATCTATTAACCATTTAATAATGTTTGTTCAAATTAATTATGCGAGTTATGGATTTAAAAAATAAATAGTGTAAGTAGTTAAACTACATCATTACAAATCTTTTTGCCGGTTCTATACATTTTTGATTAATCTGATAATTAACTTTTACATGATCGAAAAAAACTCTGAGCCCAAGGTGATCCCTTGGTACTCCCCAAACCCAAATATATATTTAATTTACAATGATGCAGAATTGAGGAAAACACCAAATATTTACTTTTTAGCAACTGGAACCTGCAAACATTAAAACTACTCCATAGTTTTTTGTGTTTTCCAGGTTTTGTATAACATATGCTGTTTACCACACAACAGACCAATCCTGCTCTTGAAGCTGCACATTTCTCTAATCCCCCGACCCTGTTTTGCATGCACTCTTGTTTGTCACAAGTACTAATTGAAATACTCCTGTGTTTTACTCCTTCACTCATTTCCTTCTCAGACTCCTGCCTTGGTGTCTAGCAAGGCTTTCAGTGCTTTCCTCCACAAGCACTGTCCTGTGGTGTCCGAGCCCTTCATCCCCACTCCTTGGTGCTGGGGGGGCCGCATTCAAACCCTGGTCTGTGCCATCCTCAAGTCCAAACCAACTGTCTGCTATCGCAAGTAGGACAAACCACCTGCACGGGTCCCCTATGTTTAATATGTTACTTTTACCTGATTGACGTAGTCGTCTTGTTATCTTTCTTCCACATCTATATGCAGTGTTTCTATGTGAAATAGTAATCCTCCCTTCCTCCCTCAGTGAGCTGATCCGCACAGTCGATGGTGGTCAGATTTCTCTGGACTGGGTGGACAATCGGGACAGTGCGGAGTACCCAGAATCCTCCATCCGCCCCACAGTACTGATCCTCCCGGGCCTGACAGGAAACAGCAAGGTGTCCTATGTGCGCCATGCTATTAACCAGGCCACCCGGCGCGGCTACAGGTCAGCTCCTCTACTGTCTCCTGCCCTATTGATTACACCTGTGGGCCAAAATCTAAGTGAAATGTAAACACCCTAAAGACATTTTCTTTCTTAGAGTTGTGGTCTTCAACAACAGAGGGCTGGGAGGGGAAGAGTTGTTGGTAAGCACCTGACTACTTAATGAACACTCATTTAATCCTGCTGCTATTTCAAAAAATACCCATATCAACTGATATCAACAGATCCAATGAAAAACCAACAAAGTATTGAAGTGTACCCAAAGCAAAGCCTGAACAAGCTTTGACAGTACTTCTATGCCATAAACCTCCATTGTTGTCTAATAGTTTCTGTCTTTAAACTATACAATGAACCACCCTGTTGAACATGGGCACTAATGTTTCTTTTGTTTGTCAAACATATGCTATCATGCTGCTGTACATTCTCAATCAAGCACAACTTGTGTGTACAAACACTCCCTAATAAAGGCAGTATTAACTTCTGTTTCATTAAAAGTACGATCTGCAATGTCCCAAAAAAAGTAGGAAAACTCATTTTTATTATTTTAGTTTTAAAATTTGAAATATATATCTTTAAATCAGTTCACACACAGTGGAACTTCCAAGTGCTCCATCAAGACATGGAAGTTGGAAATGATTGAGAGACCCGACTCACAGAATTCTTGTTGACAATTAGACAAATATAAAATAATGCCAGCTGTTTTCGCAGTTCAAACACAAAATCTAGCACTTGAACACAGCATGTAACTCTCCTCCTCTTGCTCTCTTCAGACGCCTGTCACCTACTGTGCAGCCAATACATCGGATCTTGAGCGCGTGGTGCTTCATGTCAATGGACTCTACCCACATGCCCCTGTGCTTGGAGCTGGTGTGTCTTTGGGAGGGTGAGTTGGTGCATGCTGTAATATTTGTCCAAAATGTTATTTTATGGTCAAATTGCACTTACCTTTACGACCTTTCCTTGTCTAATTGCTATTGTCCTTTAATTGTATACTTCGCTTCCCTCACCCTGTACAGCATGTTATTATTGAACTACCTGGCCCGAAAGCGCACAGAGTCAGGGATGGTGGCGGGTTTCACCATCTCCGTCCCCTGGAATGCACTGAAGTCCGCCGCCTCGATGGAGGAACCACTAAACTGGCTGCTCTTCAATAAGTACCTCACCAACGGTCTGTGTCAGGCTGTCACCAGGTCAGATACGGTGCAGTTTCACCCATTCCTCGGTGTAGTTTAAATAACTCTGTGTTAAAATAAAAAAAACCTGTTTCTCACAGGCACAGGAAGGTTCTGGAGAAAGTGGTGGACATTGACCATGTGTTGAAAGTAAGACCCGCTTCAAACACAGCGCCAGTTTCTCAATGCTGTTAATGTGTAATGGCAGTTCCTCCTCATATTCATGTCTTGTCTTCCTTCTCTTCTAGGCGCAGACTATCCGTGAGTTTGACGAACGCTTCACCTCTTTGCTGTTTGGTTATAAATCTTGTACGGACTATTACCACGATGCCAGCCCAGACCATAAACTCCCAAACACAGCGGTACCCATCATGTGTCTCAACGCTGCCGATGACCCCTTCTCTCCCCAAGGCGGTGAGTGGGAAACAGGAGAAGAGGGACTATGTGTTTTTTTACTTTGATGCAAGTTTTCACGTAAATACTTAAAAATCAAGATTGTATGATTCTTCAAGTTTCAATACTAAGCACTAATACAAGAATGTATAGATATGTGTACATGTAAAATGTCCATAGATTATGTTTACAAGTTGAGATGCATGACAATGTAATCCAGTAAGTGTTATAAATCGTAGCTAATTAACAAGTCAGTTTTAAATATTACATGTGTAACATCATTATTGATGTATTCATCAACATATGTAACTAAAGTTTTTATGAATTCCGCCAGATGTTATATCTAAGCATTACACACAGTATCTAAAAAAGTGTGTAGGTTGCATTTTTCAATTTATAAAGGGGGCCTTTTTCCTGCTACAAAAGTTGTGTAGTTGCACTTTAAGTTTTTCCCTGCCGTAGTTCATTTTTCAATCCTCCTGCTACAAATAATGCCAAGCATCTAATGTTTCAGCAAAGCTAACTAATCATCAGGGAATACAAAATCACTCATTTTGTATTTCCTGCTCACACAGCCTTCCCGTTGACCACTATCCAGAGCCTGCCTAATGTTGCCATGCTGCTGACGGCCCACGGCGGACACATTGCATTCCTGCAGGGTTTCTTTCCCCGCGGCGAGAGTTACATGGAGCGCCTGTTCGGTCAGTTTGTCCAAGCCGCCTTTGAACACCCTAAAGATATTAAGAAAGCCTGTGGCATCAAAGAGAAGCCGAGCAGCTGATCAACGTTCACCCCGTCTCTCTGTACGCTCTGAACCCGACTCAATCCCAGGATGCCTGCTGGCTGAGAACAATATGAAGCCACTAACATCCTGCAACTGCAATTCACAAAAAATCATGGCTCAGCTTTGCATGCTGTTACCACGTAAATGTTGCGTCTCCTCCATGTTTGCACAGAAAATGACCAACGGTATTGTACAATCATGCTCAACTACCTCCTCGCCCTCTCAGGTTTTCTTCCAATTAGCATTCTAAGAAAGTAAAAAAAAAGTCCTGAGCTGGGTAATGCCTACTTTTATAATAACACACAAACAACTTTATATATTAGTTGAAAAAAATATAAGAATGTAAGCTCTTAAAACCTTAGTTTGCCGTCCCAACTTCACATGGCGCACTGTAGTTAGTGTCAAAAACTAATCGCACAATTAGACATTTAAAGCTTTGATTTTAGGAACGAGATGTTATTTAAATGAAATGAATGTGAAACTATCTATTTGTTTTTCTGCAATTACTACTTTTGTTTTGCAAGACTTGTTATTTTTGAAGTGTGAAACATTCTTTAAATGTTTACTACCCCACACCTCCATGCATACTTTCCATACCATTTTTCATTGCAGTGCATACAAACAAACGAGCTAGCATTCTAGTTTTAAGAACTGTCTCAACCTGAAAACACAGCAGGAGTTAACATCTGCCATGATGGAAAGACTTTTTGATTTTAAAACGAAATGTGAAAGTGTAGAAGTGTTGTATGCTAGTATACACTTCTGCAGTGTGCTTGGTTGCAATGTAAATGATGCAGTATACCAGAAGTGAAGGGGCTGATACCGTGTAAATAGTACTTGAGATAAATGTACCGGTTATCAGAAATGTACTAGCGAGTGCTTTTGAAGTTGTGTGTCCTGTAATCTGCCTTTTGTCTCAAACGCACAATGTTGTTTGGGCGAATGTCTTATCAGGTCGGACACTTTGAGTCCACATGATCTGATGTGAAGTTTACAGGAGGTAATTAGTTCGGAATTTAATCACTAATTTGAATATTTTGTACATGATAGTAAGTATGCCTGTGTGTAGAAACATGTATAGGGTTTTAATTTATTATCTGTGTGTACAGTAATACCAACACTATTTCATAATACCAATATTAAGGTATTATTTATGATTCATGTTATTTTTATCAGTTCTTTAGATCAACATGTGACTAAAGATTATAGCAGAATTTGTTCCTATTGCTGTTATTTTGTGGTTATTTGCTCAATATGATGTTCACCACATTCACTTGCCTTTTAATTGCTGTGCATTTTATTTTTAATGGACGAATGTGTTTTGTTTTCTATGAGCTGTAACTACAAGCATTTTGTTTGCATATTGATAAAGATTGTCACCTGAAGGAACTGTGGGCATTATGAACAATACATTTTTGTTTATTGAATTCAATTTGAATTAAACAATGATAATAGTACACATGTTGATCTCTTTTGGTGTTGTATCTCCTTTTTAGGAGTGATGAAGATTAAATGAACTCATTCTCATTAGTGGTTGTGGTCAACAGCAACACACAACCCAACAATGGTCTGTTTTAAATAACACAACCACCATGTTGGTCCTATTGGAAACATGTCAAACTCACTGCCTATCAGAGGTCCCTCGGGTCCCACAGCTGAAACCAGAGGAGCTTTTATCTGGGATCAGTGGGGTCGTTAATGTAGTTGATTTACCAGAGTATTAATAATTAACTCGGAACAATAAAGGCCCACGCCCTCTGTCACAATGCTAACCCTTCAGCCTAATTTAGATTCATTTAATGACGCTGCAGCCTGGAAAACATCCAGTGTCATTCCCCCTGTGGAAAATAAGGAGCCTGATGGAGTTCACACTTCTTACTCGGGCAGATGTAATCAGCGTTGTCCTGGTTGCACTCCGCTTTGATCGTTTCCCTGTGACTCTCAAAGGAAACGGCTCATATTGTAAAGGATTTGGCTTTTGTGGACATTTTTATCGATTTACAAAAGTATCAAGAATGTTAACCTAAGTGTTTCAATTGACTTCCCCTTTCACGTCATATTTTTTATTTGTGTGCCTCCATGCAGGTATTTGTATTCTACGTCAGAAGGAAATAATATATCACTTCTCAATGTCACACAAATCGGTTTGCATTTATGTTGTAAAAGTAAGAAGAAACAAGACTAGATGCAGATCAATTAACAATAAAGTCATGTAATAGAATCTGGTTTAAATGTGATTCTAGCAGCTGACTGTGATTTTTCCAACCCCATTATTGCTTTATATTTCCAGTCCATCCTCCTCCTCCTTCTCCTCCTCCTCCTGCCTGTACACCTCTACCTGCTGCGGTGGGAGGAGCCTCAGGTTATTGTTAATGATTTAACACCAGAGCTGCTGAGATCGACAGATAGAGAAAGTCTGAGAGTGAGAAAGAGAGACACGGAAAGAAGTAACAATAGTGAGGAGCACACATGGCAATGTAAGCTGAGAAAGTGAGCGGCTGTAGAAGAAGAAGTTATGCTACAGGGTTTTGCAGACTGCATGTTTGAATCTTCTCAGGTGTGTGAATACTTCATTACAGCTGAAAGTGGAGCCTATCAGCAGTTCATTGTGATCACTTGGCTCCTATGGTCCATGCGGCCTTTATAGGCTGGACAGACTTTCATCTACTCTCCTGATCCACACACTGCCTGCAGGTGAGTGGGACTCCTTCTAAATGTGACTTTGAGAGTTGAATTTTTCAAGTGTCTTAAGTTGAAAAGGCTTGTACAACAGTGAAATACACCTTTATTTCATGGCTTCTCTCATAGATGCACTAAAGTTGTTTGCATCACCATTTCATTAAGTTGAAAGGTGATGATCTGTATGTCCCAGAGAGCACTTATATTCAGCCTTAAACACACCACCAGATGAGACACATGCTCTCTCCAGGTTTCTATTACTGAGCATCTTATGGGAATCCAGCTGTAGTTACACTTTGCCATGAATTAATAATGAGACAGTAGGAAGTGTGAGCTGTAGATATAATGGGTCCAGCGTAATGTTCCTGTGCAGATGACGAGCAGACAGAAATATATCCTTTTAGTTGTTGGTGTCTCTTCTAACTTCCCATTGTCTCTAAGAATATTTAAGAAGGCAAATCACTGCTTTTATACTTAAATAATTATACAGCCAATTCAGAGAACCAGCTACAAGCAGCTCTAAGTCTCCCTGGACTGAATTAGTTAAACTAAGAGTGAGCGGTTTTCCTTTAGTTAATGTTGAGCAAAGGTTATCATCCTTCCTTTATAGTGGCAAGTTCCTAGAAAGCTTATGATGTTTGCCCACAGGTGTGTGTGTGTGTGTGTGTGTGTGTGTGTGTGTGTGTGTGTGTGTGTGTGTGTGTGTGTGTGTGTGTGTGTGTGTGTGTGTGTGTGTGTGTGTGTGTGTGTGTGTGTGTGTGTGTGTGTGTGTGTGTGTGTGTGTGTGTGTGTGTGTGTGTGTGTGTGTGTGTGTGTGTGTGTGTGTGTGTGTGTGTGTGTGTGTGTGTGTGTGTGTGTGTGTGTGTGTGTGTGTGTGTGTGTGAGAGAGTGAGGTTAATGAAACTCCCTTGAGCAAATTTGACTTACAAGTAAGTAGCGACAGATGTTTATTTTGTTGCCATTGTGTTCCGTGTAAACACTTTAGGACCATCAACACAGGACTATTAGCTTGTGGCCCTGCAGCTGCATTGTGTTGTTTACTGGACTAGATTTGCACATTGTTGTTGATAGTGAATCATTGTTGTCATGGAAAATATCCAATCCAAGGTGAGTGATGTAAAAGTGTTTTTCAAGGGGCCCAATGTTCCTTAACCAACTCCTTGTCACTATAAACGGTGTCCAAATTTGCACAACATATAAAACAACTGAAAAAGTGGAACAGTAGCCAGGAGCTATTGCTCAGTGACTTTATGATTTGCTTTAACATCATGTCTAATCTCAGAACTGTCCAATGTTCAGGGTGAGGCAGCGGGGGGGGGAGTTCACGTGATGAGCACGGTGAAGCTTTACTGAAAGCAATGTTTGTGTGTTCAGGATATTAGTCCCGTAACCTCATGATTGTAATGTTTGGCCTGTCAATATAGACAGCAAATAGTTTCCATTGTTCCACTATATGGAAATAAAGTGGCACACTTATCAGGGCTTTTGAATACAGCTCTCATGCATGACAATAAGAAAGTTAGATCTGGTGTATGGTTAGCTTATCTCAAGCAGCAGTGCTAACAAATCAGTGTGTATTCAAATCAAATCAAGTTTGATTTATATAGCACATTTATAAACGATTTTTGGTCGAGCCAAAGTGCTGTACATATAATAAAAATAGCCTACAGTAGAGACACTTTACAGCTAATACAATAGCACAGATTGTTCAGAATATCAGTATGAGAAAAAACGACACCCTCTATCCTTAGACCCTCACATCGTACAAGGAAAAACTTCCAGAGAAAACCCCACAGTTTAAGGGGAAAACATGGGAGAAACCTCAGGGAGAGCAACAGAGGAGGGATCCCTCTCCCAGGACGGACAGACGTGCAATAGATGCCGTGTGTAAATCGAAGAGATAATACATTGTACAGCATATAGACCGAATGTTAGGAAATGCATGTGTCTGTAATAAGAAGATGAATCTACGAACATGTCAACTACAATCCTGTGGGAGCCTTCAGAGAGGCAGCAAGACGAGACCCAGGCAGGACCGCAGAGACAGGTTCAGCCACAACCCGAAGTCCACGACTTAATCCAGAACTCAGGATAGAGGATCCAGGAACACAGCAAAAAGATCAGCCTCGACTCCGGATCCCGGCGTAGATATAGACACAAAACAAGAACAAATGTGGCTGGGTTATTCGGAACAAGAGAATACACAGACACAGACAGACAGACGGAAGAACAAACACTCCCTTAAAATAGATTAAGGGCACAGGATAGCAAGTAAGAGAGTAAGAAACATAGGTGGAGAGGCACACTCAGGGAACAAGGTCCCCACTGGAGCCTTAGTTGGAAATTGATGAGAGATAGGGAGGTACGCTGTGTCTACGAATTGTAACACTCCCCAGCCTGTCTAAGCCACTCTACAAACCGTTTCCCTCTAATACAACTCAAGAAGTTAGAGAGGGAAAAGGTCTTGGGTAAAAGTTATTCTTGATAAGAGAAGCCTAGAAGGCCAGAGAGAAAAAGCGAGTTTTAAGTGTTGATTTAAAAACCCCATAGGGTCTGGGCCGACCTCACATGGAGGGGCAAAATATTCCAGAGCCTGGGGCCAGCCGCTGCGAAAGCTCGGTACCCTCTGGTTTTAAGCCTGGTCTTAGGCACTATCAACAGCAGCTGATCAGCCGACCTTAAGGCTCTGCCTGGGGTGTAGCGATGGAGGAGTTCGGCTACATAGGCCGGAGCCAGCCCATTTAGGGCTTTGAAAACAAATAAAAGGATTTTAAAATCTATTCTGAACCGAACTGGAAGCCAGTGCAATGAGGCCAGAATTGGTCGCGCTTTTTATGGCCAGTTAGAAGACGTGCAGCTGCGTTCTGCACTAACTGCAGGCGTCTAATTGAGGCCTGGTCCATACCCACATACAGAGCATTGCAGTCATCCAGTCTCGAGGTAACAAAGGCGTTAATAACCCTTTCTAGGTCTTTAAAAGATAAAAACGACTTAGTCTTAGCCAATAGTCGTATTTTAAAAAAGCAGGTCAAGACTACGGTGCTGACCTGCTTATCAAATTTAAAGACGCTGTTGAAGGTCACTCCAAGATTCATGACAGAGGGGAGGATGTTTTTACTGAGGGAGCCCAGAATATCAACCGGAGAGGCTGGAGGTCGGGGTCCAAAAAAGATGACCTCGGTCTTGCTCTTGTTGAGGGTGAGGAAGTTTTGGCTCAGCCAGGATTTAATCTCTGTTAAGCAGTCCATCAACTGCTGTAGTGAGTTGGCATTTTGATTGAGAGGCAGATAAATCTGTACATCGTCAGCGTAACAATGGAAGGGGATATTATGTTTTGTGAGAATTGAGCCTAGGGGCAGTATGTACAGTAGAAAAAGGATGGGGCCCAGAATCGAGCCTTGGGGAACCCCACAGGTAAGAGGGGCTTTGGCAGAGGAGAAGGCACCCAACTGCACTGAGAGGCTACGGTCTGTCAGGTAGGACCTGAACCATGCAAGGGCAGAGCCTGTGATGCCTGCGGACTGTTCAAGCCGTGACAACAGGATGCTATGGTCCACAGTGTCGAAGGCAGCTGTCAGGTCCAACAGCACCAAGACAGCTAAGCTACCTGAGTCGGCAGCTAGGAGCAGATCATTAAAAACCCTTAAAAGGGCTGTTTCAGTACTATGCATGGGTTTGAAGCCAGACTGAAACTTTTCATGGATGCCATGCATGGTTAGGCATAGACTACTCGCTTCAGGGCTTTAGATAAAAAAGGTAGCTGTGAGATGGGCCTAAA